GCCTTGTTTTTCTTTTTCTTTTTTTTTAAAAATGTGTGCCAACTCACTAGTGGTGCTTTAGAGCACCACTTTTAGTGGTATGTATCATTGTCCTTAAAGTATGAGAGCATCCACATCAGGCTCTCTATAATGGGTTTGAAGTTATTGTAGTGTACAGAGTAAAAGTTATAAAAACGTGCTACATCAGACTCTCTATAGCAACCATTTATTTTGATTTTGCTACAGTGTCTCGCTTAATCGCCTCACCCGATTAAGCGAGAGACTGTTTATAGGTTAATTTATTTTTTGTTATATTTTTTTGAGCAAAGCTAGGCCAAAAAGTTATAGCCGATGTCCTCTCGGATGTCCCATGAGCCCTGTAACAAAAGAAGGGAAATGCTCAAATTTGGCCTGATCGGTCGACCATCCGGTGGTCCACCCAGTCAACTGTCCCTCAGTGAGTTCGGCCCTCATATGTTGTTGTTACTCTGATGTTGATCTGTTGCTATCTTGGGCCTTATTTTATACCCGTTTTGACACCATTTTGCACTCCAAAAATATGGTTAAACATAAGGAGAATTTAAGGATTATAATGATTTAATTAAACATTAAGTTTTCAATTATAATCCATGTTTCAAAATAAATCAAAACATAATCAAAAACATGATTCATGAGCTTCTACTACAGATTGAATATAAAAAATAATATTTTAATGAAATAGAATTTTAGAAGATAAAGTTTGATGGAGTGTATACATAGAAAAGAGACTAGCTAAAATACAAAAGTGAAATTTGGGTTATAATTTGGGTCAAATTTTGCTGAGACTGATGCGGATACTCTTAGTAAGTTAAATAAAATTTGCTAAAAACAAAAAAATAATAATATTTGTTATTCGATGGATTTTAATTTTTTTTATTTTAAAAAAACATGAATCACATGACAAATGTCATATATACATACAAAATATACTATTGTTCCATTTATCTGGACAAAAAATATTTTTTAACACTATGAAAAACTTTTTTCAAAAAATATTTTCTAGATAAAATAATTTTGTATGTTTGGTGGTGATAGTGGTGGGACGAAAGTGAAAATGGAGGTAGAGGTGGTGGCGTGGTGGTGACAGTGGTGATAGTGGCAGTGGCCGTGATGATCGTGATTCGTGTTGTAGTGGTGGAGGTGATAGTAGCAGTGGTATATAACTTGGCAACGTTTGTAAGACTTTAATTCAAAATATTTTCTACCTTTTGAAAATAAAAAATATTTTCTATCTAAATAAAATTATTTTCCTTTAATAATGAAAAATATTTTCTATTAACTTTCATTTTCTATTGTACCAAACACCAAAAAATAGAGAAAATATTTTATGTTCAAACAAACATATTGTACATTCAGAAAATAAGAAAATGTTATACAAATTAACAAAATTTATAATTTTTTTATTAATTAATGTGTCACGCAATAATAAAATTTAAAAATAAATAAACCTTTGAAAAAGTGGAAAAAAAAATACAATCCTCAAGGACTAGTTATTATGAATGGGCCTGTTGGGCTATGTGGGCCTATGTGATAAGATTCTTGTTTGGCAAAAGTTTTGATCCAGCCCATACATTTTCTAACGACAAAGCCTGTTTTCTTCTCTTTCATGAGCTCAAAAATAAAGTTTAAGCTCGGCTTAAAAATTAGTCTAATTCGAGTTCAACTTAATTCATTTATACTAATCAAGGTTGGCTCGATAAACAAGCTTTGTCTATATAGCGATCCCGGTTTTTGACTCGGCTTTTATGGTGTTTCGGACTCGGGTCTTGGGGATTAATGTTGTTGTTTATGTCTTTTCCTCTTCTTGCCCTTTGAATTTGGGTTTTTGAATGTCTTGGGTGTGTTTAAAACAGGTTGATTGCTACTTGGTTTAGAACCTTGTTGCCCGTAATTTTGGTCTTTCGCTCGAGCGGGCCTTCTTGCGCTCAAGCGGGGTTTGCAATCATTTAGTACTTTGTGCGTCTGCAAAAATACTACAGAAGTGTTTTTCACGCTCGAGTGGAGTTTCTTACGCTCGAACAGGTCTGAGCTCGAGCGGTCCCTTTGGCACTCGAGCGATTGTCTGAAGTCTGTAAAATACTAGACGAGTGTATTCTACACTCGAACGGGTCTCATTGCGCTCGAGCAAGTAGTGCCTTGCTGTTGTGTCTTGGCACTCGAGCGGCCTTTATCGCACTCGAGGGGTCAAATTTATGTGTCTGACACTCAAGCGTCAAACTCTCTGCTCGAGCAAACTGTGCGTATATCAGATCGCGAAAGTGACTTTTAAATCACTTTTTCTTTCCTTTCTCTCTCTAAAACTTTCCAAAACCCTAAGTTGAGAGCCTCTCTCTCTAAAATACTCTCTCTCTCTACCTTTTGACCTAGATCTAGTGATCTCTTCACTCTCCTTCCTTTGATAAAAAGATTAAGCTCTTTAAGATCTCCATTTTCAACCGAGTAAAAGTTGGCTTCATCACTTTCGAAGTTTTTCTCGTGCTTGGCTCTTCTCCTTTGAGCTTCTCCATTTGAGGTAGGGATAATCTACTCCTTAATATGAGTTTTGACATAAATATTGGTCATTTTGTATAAATTGTGGGATTTGAAAATTTTGGGTAAAGTTAGGGTTGAGTTTGAAATTATAAAAGAGGGGTTTCCTAATGTTGGGTTCCATATGTATGTGGGGTCTTGAAAATGGGGTTGTTTGTGTGTAATGGGTGAAATTTGGCCTTGGGGGCAATATTTGAGAAAAAGGGGACAATGTCCTAATTTGAATTATATACATTATTTGTGTAAATAATGAAATCAATTGTGGAAATATGAAATTGGTCTGGGAATTATGAAATTTGAGAAAAATGTGATTATATGGTGTAGTTGGATTGATAAATCAATCACCTATGGAAAAGTTCATAAATTATCTATTTGATAGATTTATTTATCTATTTAGAAATATCTGTTTTAGGCTATCGGTGGAGGATAGCCATGATTGTTGTAGAAATTGCATGATGATTAGGTGAATTGAAACTAATCAATTGAAATATGTCATTGAATATGACGGTTGGATGTAAACATTGTATATGTGATTGAATTGGTCATTGTATATGACAACGTGTTTAAATACATTGCATATGTATCTTTGTTTGGGAGGAGATAGGGGATAGACTCCTTTGATAATTAAGTTGGCCGGAGTGTTCAGGGTGAAAGTCTCGAAATCTTATATGCATTTAAAGGATGTTGATGATTGAAATGTTGATAATATGAGTTGTAATCTCATTTTGAATTGTTTGGATAAAAACGAATTATGTTAATGAATTGATTTGGATAAATAAATGAAAGTGGATTGAAATATGGATGTCAATGTTGATTGGTTATGGAAAGAGTGATTTGGATAAATAAAATAGAAATGGATTGAAATATGGATGTGAATGTTGATTGGTTATGGAAGGGATGTACGTAGTTCACAAGTGTTACACATTTATCGGATGCTAATGTTTTAGTTAATTCTCATATACTGTTTAGTATATCTCTACTGGGCATTGGCTCACCCTACTTGGGACATCATTTTTCAGGTACATGTGATATGCCGCCTCCAAGATCTTAGTTTGGGAGGTTTAGGAGTTGAAGACTCCGTTTTGTTATTTATATTTTGTGTGAAATGTATATCCAAGCCGAGGGCTTTCTATGTATAGAGCTAAGGCCCCATTTGTTTTCAGAGATAGAATGAAGGGGATTCATAGTGAGGGGATTAATAGTGAGGGGATTGTTAGTGAGGAATTGTTAAATTATTTTTATATAAAATAATAAAACAAATACAAAAATATAAAAAATTAAACATTAATATTTTTAAAAAAATTCTCAATATATAAAAAATTAAAAAAAAATTAAAAAAAATTCTAATCCCCTCACTATTTTTCTAATACCATCTCTGTCTCCTCCTTACCAATCCCCCTTACAAGGGGACTACTAATACCAAGGGATTAATAGTCTCCTCCCCATCTCTCAAAACAAACACCCCATTAGTAATACCAAGGGATTAGTAATCTCAATCCCCTCCCTATAACCCCAAACAAACAAGGCCTAAGACTCTTCTTTTGTTGTAACCAAGTGATGACTTGGAAAGCTGTAAGCCCGTAGGGCATTTATTTCGTTGCTAACATGTAATATCTTTTGTTACGAAGACTCTGATGAATGAAAATATAACATTTTCTTCTATGTTTATAGATTATACGAATGGTTGTCATATACTATATTTTGAGGGCATTACAGTCTAATCGTTAAATATTATTCTCTATTAAGGGTTAGTTTGGCATGTTTGAAAAAAGTTAAAAAGTCAAAAAGTCACTATTTTATTTAAGTCATATCATTTTATTTAAGTCACATCACCTTTCTAACACATCACTTCAAACCCAACCCATATTTCATAAAAATTCAAAAAATGCACTTATTTCGATCATTCCAAACAACTCCTAAATATGCATATATAATAAATTTTATATCATTTTATATATTAATTTTATTATTTAAATAAATAATAAATGAGTCGAATTTATTCTAACTCAAACTCGTTTATTTACATAGCAAACCTTACCAAGCCAAGCTCACAAGCAGCTTTAGTTGCATTTAGGGATGATAAACGAACCAAACAGCTCAGTCTTGACTCATGTTTGCTCGTTTAAGCTTAATTCGTTAAGTAAACAAACTAAACTTGAACACAATTTAGAACTCGTTAAAATTTTCAAATCAAGTTTGAACAGTCAATTGCTCGTTCGGCTCGATTTAGTAAGTCTAAAACTATATAAAAATATCAAACTACTATAACTCAACTTTACAAAAACTTGTTTAAAATTTATTCGAAAGTTTAACGAACCAAATTTGAACAATTAATTGTTTGGCTCATTCAGCTCGTTTATCACCCATATTTGCAGTCCTAATTCACATTACCACATGTGATTGTCACATTAATGTGTTATGAAGTAAAAAAGAAAAATAATTGGAAGATAAAATAAAATCAAGCAGAGTGGCTAACATTTTATTCCAAAGCAAGGAGATGCTCAGATTACAAGTTAAAGCCATTTGTTTGGTTAGCCAAACTTTAGACCATTTCAGTACCTCAACAATGAAACAGGACAATAAAAAGAACATTTAAAACATCAATAAAGATTTTTTTTTATAAAAAATTTTATTCAAGAAAAAAAAAAAGAAAAAAAAAGTAAAGTGAATACAAAGATGGGGGATTTGGGTCAGCCCATGGCAAACTTCTGGGTCCAGCTTCTAGCAGTGGATTCATACTTGACCTTATCAGTTTTGCACATGTGAGCTATCTCTGGAACCAATGGATCATCTGGGTTTGGATCAGTTAGAAGTGAACATATAGATAGCAAAACCTGCAACAATTAATCACCATAGTTTAAACACCAACTTTAATAAACTTTTATGATTTTTTTTTTTTTTTTTTTTTTCCTAAGCTGGGGGGGGTTTGTCTATCCATAAAAGTTTGGACCAATCCTAAAGGTTGGGGGAGCAGTGCCGCTAAGTGGGAGGATGGGAAAGGGCAACATGAACCTGCAAACGGTGGATCAAAACCATTCTGATGCATATGAAAGCCTCCACACCAAATCTCAAGTGCTCGAGTCCTAACCACCGGGCTAACCAAGTAGTTAATTAGCTTTTATAGTAAAGAAACATTATAGGACTTAAATTTCATTTCTCACTTCCGTTTGAGATTATCCCAATCTGATATATGTAGGATGGAGGACTATATGTATCTGAGAATTAGTTAGCCAAGTGATATGTATATATAAAAGAGAGAGAGACCACAATCACCTTGGATATGGTAAGAGCAGGACTCCACTGTTCCTTGAGGATATCCAAGCAAATATTCCCATTACTGTTTATATTTGGGTGGAAAACTCTGGTCCTAAAGGCAACCTGAAAACAGTGAAAACACATAAAATATTTTCTACTACACATAGATGAAGGTAGCAAAGTTAGTAAAGCAGAATTACTGACTAAAGGATCTTCTATCTCCAAATTCATCTGTCTCCTATCTCAAAACACTTGCAATGAAAACTTCAAGGATTGAAAATCTAAAATACCCGGGGCATAGTTTAATTACAGCAAGTATCTTTGAGACAAGGAGAGCGAGATTTGGAAATAGAAGATCCCGTAACCATAACCAAACTAAAAAGTTATATACCTTTGGAGGTTTGAATGGATAATCCGGAGGGAAATGGATAGTGACAAGGAACACACCATTAGCATAAGGGCTATCATTCGGACCGATGATGGTTGCTTGCCAGTGGAACATATCCTCTGCTATCGGACCTAAACACACACACAACCATTTGTGACATTTTCACTCATAGTATGTCGAAAAAAAGAAGAATAAGTTTTGAAACACGAAAATTGATCACAAATCAGACACATAATGAATATAGATGGACAAGATTCATCAGAAGTGGGCCACACTAATAAATCATGTAAAATTTTATTCATTCATGTATTCTGTATTTAATTTTGTGTCTGCTTTTTGTATTCGTAAAAGAATTGAAGCAAAAGAAGAATGAACTAGCAATTTTGACTGAAGTGTGTGTGTGTGTCAAGGTTTCAATTGACAATTACAATTGCTCTAAGCCTGTAGTAGTGATCCAATTGCAGGCTGTTACGGTCATAGCGTAACTGTTGCTGTAATGGGAGTTACGAAAATTTTCATTTTTCATGCACTTGCTGCAAAAACTGACTGATAAATGTTTTTGTTTTAGAATCACATTTGTTGAAATTGAAAATATTTTTTTTGAAAGATTTAATATATCTTATGCAACAGGCATAACGGAGTGGTGGAAGCAGCTACAAGAACCATGGTGTGTGTGTACCTGCACTGCAAGAAGTTGGCGGATCTCTCTGCAAGTCCTTGAGCTCCTTCAAGATTCTCTTTGATGCCATTAGAGCAAGTTCTGAAAGGAAGAGAAATCCAAAGGGAGGAGTATTTGGAATTGGAAAGAAAATGAAGAGAGAGATAATCAATGAATGCACAGCTGTGAAACAGAGGTGCGGGTGTATTTAATGGAGAAAAGGGAGAAGAAGAAGAAGAACAACGGCCACTGGTTTTTCATAAAAATGGTGCAAATAAAAAGCAGTATAGATTCTAGGAAAGAAAGGTGGCGGCGCCGCAAAGTAAAGAATCAAAACGGATTCCGAAAATTTGGAAAGCAAGATAGTTTGCTCATTGGTCCATATAAATATCCCTTGGGACAGTAGGAAGATTAAAGATTCAGGATTCGAGTTGATAGAGCAATTGCGACTTTCGTTATAATCTAAATTACTTACCCCTAATATCTTATTGTATGTCAGCTAAAAAAATAAAAACTGGAAAGCAAAACTGGGACTCCATTGATAATCATCAAAATCAACATCATTAAAGAGACAGAATTCCTTAGCATCATTCCAGCCATTTTAAAATGGCTCAAAAGTTCTATTCGGCTCAATTGATAAAAGGCCCAGTTAAAAAATATTTATAAGTGTTAGTTGTTAGCCCAATTAAAAAAATAAAAAATAAAAAATATGTATATGTCTGTGGGGCCCATTTTTCTTTCTTCTCTTTTTATGGCCCAATTATGTGTTTTCTAGTGGTTTTTAAATATTTTATGCAATTTTATTTATTATTTTGTAGATACATCTAATTTAAATACACTTAAAAACTATAATATTTATATATATATATTTTTAAAAACGTTACCAAATACAAAAAATATTAAAAAATACGAATTGTAAACTCAAACAATTATTTTTAAAACTCTAAACCAAATAGAGTGATTTTTATTTTTATTTTTATTTTTTTTTAAATATCTAAAAAGGCCCCAAAAAATTATTTCGCCTTAAGCCCCGGAAACTCAGGGCCGGCCCTGTGATAGAGCAATTGCGACTCTCGTTAATTATAATCTAAATTACTTACCCCAAATATCTTATTGTATGTCAGCTAAAAAAATAAAAATAAATAAAAACTGGAAAGCAAAACTGGGACTCCATTGATAATCATCAAAATCAACATCATTAAAGAGACAGAATTCCTTAGCATCATTCCAAGGTTGTGTTTGGCTCTCGGACTTGTGAAAGGATTTGTGGAGGGAAAAGAAAAGAAAAGAAAATGACAAAAAAAATTATTTTTTGAGAAAAAAACTTGTTTGGTGAACTATTTCAAAAACTATTTTCTAAAAACAAATTTAGAGGAAAAAATACACCTTCTTACGAGACACCAAAAGTTAATTTTAAGTTTTCAAGAAACATTTTATTCAAAAACTGAAAATCGTGAGAGCTTCAGACTTTTTATTGTTTTTATTTTTGAAAACATGAAAATCAAAAATTGGAAAACGAAGCCAATACTAGCTTCAAATTTATTTATTTTTTGGTTCAAAAAATTCAAACACAACTTTAATTGACGTTAAAAGAAGTACTTTCATGCCCTACAAAGCAATGCTCGCATTACTTTTAAGTAGTATTTGATTCACTAAATATAAAAGGAATGATCAATTTATTAGAATATTTATTATCATGTTTGGTTTGGTTTTTTTTTTTTAAAAAAAAAAAAAAAAGTTACACATCATTGGTAAATTTTATAAATATTATTAATAATTAAAATCCTAAACTTTTTCATGTATTTGTAAATATTTTTTCAAAAAACCACTAAGCTGTAATTTCTCCATAAAATTACAATTTACAACTTTTTTTTATTTTATTTTTAATAATCATTCTATTGGGTGGTCAAAAAATAATCATTCCATTCATACTCGAGTGGGTTGGAAGTGGGTTGAGACTAAAAAAATACAAAAAGACAAAATATGCTAAATAAATCAGTAAAATATCACATTCAAATCATAATCATTTCATTTTTTTTCTTACAAAAAAATCTAAAAATCAAAAAAATTAAAAAGTTTTTTCCCAAATGGAACTAATTTAACCCGGCTAAATTAGTTAAAAAGTCAAAAAATCAAGTTAAAAAAGTTCTTCCCAACTAGACCTTCAAAATGGCTAAAAATTTGAGAGGACAAAAGTTCAATAAGCATGTCCTATAAATACAATTTCACATTTTTGTTTTTAAGGCGTAAAAGATTGGAAAAATTGCAAATAGATAAGACAATTACAAAATAATTGCACCGTAAGTGAGATTTTTTATTTTTTTTTGTACAACTTTGACACATAGAAAGAGTTACACTAAACACAATAGTAAATTTGTACCATAAATACAGAAGAATTGTACCATCATAAAAATATAATTTTTTTTTATTACTATTCCACTTAAATGCAATTTTTTCTAAAAGATACATATATTCGTGCTTAGCTCAAACCATCCGTTCGTAGAGATAATTGAGAATTTGAGGGCCAACTTTTTATCCCAATAGACCTTTAAAAAAAAAGAGCATATCAAATATCTTTTGATATTATGGAAGGAATCCCATGAAATGAAAAGGAAAATCAAAGAAAAACTCTGCTGTCAACATTCTCAATGCACACCATCTAAAAAACAAAAAACATTCTCGAAGCACCACAAAAATATGATGATCACTCTCCCCCACACAATGAGAATACCCATTTTGTTTTCCCCCAACCTTTTCCATTTTCAATTTCATGCATTATTATTATTCCCTTCACAAAACACTTCGGAATGTCAATCACTTCTAGTCAAATTCCATCATAACTTATATTTACATGATTTTAACTACATGATTTTAACTATTCATTTCATAAGATTTCATATGTAAATTATCTATGAAACAAATCTAATCAATCCGACATATTTGTTATACTTATTGTTCATTTTTTTAAAAGCAAATAAAATAAAATTATTTTTCATGCATGATTTTCACATAAAACCTTATAAAAATACAGTTTAAATCATTAGAGCGAGACTCATAATTGGCTCTCATTAGGCCCAATTTCCCTCCAATCCACCAACTGACTAGAAAAAATCTCTTCTCAACAAAAATATATATTATATATATAATGATGTGACGTAATTATGGTTTTGTCACTTTAAAATCAAAAGTAATACAGAACTCTAGAAGTAGAGCTTTAATTCGAGCTCTACTTACGTATCAAGGAATAAAAAATAAAAAATAAAAACACAAACAAAACATCACATCACAGGTATTAGAGCTCTTTTGTTAGAGCTCCAAATCATTTTTACTTTAAAATAAAAATCCATCAAAATATTTCTTAATAAGAAAAATATCACTACATATCATTATGATGAATAAATTTGCATGAAAATTCTAAAAGAATAGCATTTTTCATTTGAGTTAAACTTCCCTCCATACGTCGTCTCTCCATAACCATCCATACTCTTGTGAGCCTCAATTCTGACTCACTTTAATAATCTAAACCATTTATAAGTTTCACAATAAAAATTATTCATACAAAAAATTAAATTTATCAAACAACTATAAACACATAAACAAATCAAGTTTTATTTTACAAAATGAATTATTTAAGTTTATAATCTTATTTGGTATTCATTTTATAAAACAAAATATGATTTGTTCTTGTGTTTACAGATATCTAAAGAAATTAATTTTTAATATAAATGTCCTTTATTACCGAACCTACAAAGTAGATGATTCAGATAATCGATGTGAATCTCAACTTGAACCCATAAAAAAAATATATGAATTTAGAAAGATGCAAATGGAAGGGCACTCATCCCTTTTCACCTAAGCTTCTTGGAAAGCAAAAAACTACCAATGAGAACTGCTACGGCACCGCATACAGCAAATACCATAAAAAAGAAAAAACACTGGGTTCAAAATCATCCTAGGCATAAATCTCATCATACAAGAATTGAATCTAAATCATATATCATTTTTATAGTTAAATATCTGTGTATGATTTTTTTGATCTGTCACTTTACTGACAATGAAAAGCCATCCCACCAGTGCAAAGAGAAGCAAAACCAAAGGAAGGAGTTTGCTGGAAAACAAGTTTGCATCATACAAAAGCAACAAGTAACGAAAGAGGTGAATGAGACACTCTTACCAGCGTGATGCCCAACTTCAAGTGTTTAAAAAAAATAATAAATAAATAAATAACAGAAGTTATGCACATAAACAGCATGCAGAGTTTACAGATCAAATTTGGCTTGATTCAATGAGCAAATATAAAATAAATCACTACATAATCACAAATATTTCTATATAAGCATAAAGAGAATGAAATCAGACATGGTCTACAAGATGAAACAGTTTGTTATTTTATAGAAACATTTTCCACAATCTGGGTTAACACATTATGCAAAACTGGACACCAGGAAATAAAAGAGCAGTACTCATACCAAACACATTCATCAATATACAAAACAACACACAACTGAGAAAGCAACAACCAACCAACCACTTGATGCTGCTGCAACAAAGCTTCCTAGTAGAGTCAGTCACGACTACAAACCAATGCGTGCTGCTGCTTCCTCGAGGTGAAAGGATAATGAGAGAGATCAAGAAACTAAGGGGTAATTAGTCAGTTGGTCATCTTTTCCTCCTGCAAGAAATTCTTACAGGATAGCACACACTTTTTGTCCCCTTTTCTTCTTTTTCTTCTTCTGCTTTGGTGGTTGGAGAACCACCTTAATCGCCGCATCAAAAACAGCCTTCACATTCTGTCATTTCAAAGGAAAATTTTCATAAATACTGTTAGTAGAGTGAGGTCATCACAAGAGTTTACAAGAAGATACACACGTATATAAGTACAAGTTAATTGCACTAATGGTCTCCAAAGTTTACATTATGTTACACTTTAGTCCCTGACGCCAACACAATTCAAAATCAATAACTGGAGGAGACGTACTTCTGAAATTTTACAATAAGCCTCAACAAAATTAAATGACCAAATATACACATGATCTCAATGTATGCATTTTGTAGCATTTTGATTCATAGAATATGCGTTGTGTTTCATATTTAAGTCTCAAAAGTATGCACTTTCTTGCACTTTTGTCCCCAATCTTTAAATTTTGTTGATTTAAAAAAATGAAAATAAAAATAAATAACTAAAAATACCCCTCCTCCCGGTACTGATTTTGAATGTTGTTGATGCTAGGGACTAACTTGCAACAGATCGCATACATTAGGGACCAAAATGGAACAATTAAAATATAGGGGACTAAAGTGTAACAAAACACATACTTTCTAGACATGTGCAATTAATCCTACAAGTAATATATATCACCTGTTGGGTTTTTGAACTACATTCAATGTAAGAAGCAGCTCCAATCAGCTGTCTCAGCTCCTCACCCTTTGAAAGAAAGTAGGAAGTCAGGTTTCTCTTAGAAGGGCTTGTACACATGGACAAAAACGATGGATGCAAAGCGGATGGAAACAAGATATACTGTAAATATACCTGAGCTGTTGTAATGGGCACTGCACCAGGGTGGTGTACAAAGAACTGCTTATCTTCCCTAAGATCTACAAGAAGCAAAATCAGAGGTCATTCAGTCTGAATACTGTTCACACACGCACAAAGAATAACATTCTTACCAAGACAATATTACTAGAATGGTGGAGAGAGAGAGAGAGAAAGAGAGAGAGAGAGAGAGAGAGAGAGATTTAGGGGTTGTTTGGGGTGTCCTAAATAAATACACTTTTTGTCTTTTTAGACTAAGAAGTTGAGGAAAAAAATATAAATGTTTGGGTTAACTTTTTGACTTTTTATGAAAAAATGTGTATTAAAAAATTGTACAAAGAAGTGTGTAGGAGAAGATTAGAGATGTGTGGGACACAGCCGTACAATCTACATAGCCGAAATGATAGTAAGAAATTATTGGCTACTTTTCAGGCATTGCACTGGACGGTTTTGTTCGGCCCGTGGAGGTCATCACGGGTCTCATTTTAATAATCCGAACCGTTCAATGTGTGGAACTCGTCAAGTACTATATACCTATAAAAAAAATCACGTTGATCAGATATCGATAGTTATCTGATTAGATTTTTTTTTTCAATCGTTAATTATAATACCATCCATTTTTTATACAAAACTAATTTGATCATATAGTTATCGATATCCGATTAATGTGATTTTTTACAGACATATAGTACTCGATGAGTTCTACACATTGAACGGTTCAGATTATCAAAACGGGACCCGTGATGGGCCCCCACAGGCCGAACAGCAGTGTGTGAAAATTACACTCAAACTGTGCAATAGTATTCAAGAAAAGCTGCACAGCGCCAGATTTTTCATGATTGCTAAGTTGTATGGATGTGTGAAAAATTAATTTTTTAATATTTTTTTTGATGAATAGTGATAACTTTTTAAGTAACTTTTTGATTTTTTGGAGAGATGCCAAACTTGGCCTTAATATATATCATAATAGATAACTCAATTTACAAAAATTTACAGTATAGATAGATCTAGTTAGGCATAGAACATAAAGGAATATAGATGAAAAAGAGCACACCAGACACCTCATTTCTACACACATCAGCATAATAAAAACAAAAACAGCAAGTCTTAGTCTCTTAGTCAAACTTTCAAGGACAATGCAGACAAATATTATTTTAAAAGATGCAAAAAAAAAACCCAGTGAATATTGGTATGGGAAGATATTGTAAGCATAATTACCTGAAGAGCTATTCCTTACCATAAAAAATAAAACATACATTGTAGTATGAGCTGAACTTTGTAGGAGTAAAGAACATTTCAAACACAAATGTTGAATATTAAACTTCAGAAATGGATATGTTTCCTAAATGAGATGCTATCAAGATGGACGAGGACCCCTGTAGCTTTTCCATCATCATGATTCTAAGCACACAAAAAAATGCCCACCCCTACTTTCTTTGATAGGATAAGAAAGAGAAACTTATAACAGTTTGAAGTATTCGAGTATAAATAAAGCACTAGTGGCACTCACTTCTCAAGTCAAAGAAAATCACCTAATTTAGCAACAAGAAGCACTCAGGTGAAGAAAGAAACTAAGATCACACCATATTGTCCAAGGTAAAACACCGGTTTTAATAAGAAGTCCTATATGTAGAACTTGTACCATGTTAAGTTCCAAATATTCTACAAACCCAAAACGTGCTGTAACTATGCAAAAGACCAAAATGCCCAATTTTTAATCGTAGAGATAAAAATGGCAGTTAAATCTATAATTTAGGAGAAAATCATGACATTTAATTACCCCATTTGGATCAAAATTTATATTTTAGGAGAAAATCATAAGTACTTACCCATTTGGACTCCTCTCTGCATATATATATATATATATATAACAGCGTGAAAGTTGTATTTGTGAATATCCACACTTTCAACGAATAACATAGTGTGAATTTTTTAGAAGTGTGAAAGTTTTAAGTGTGAATATTCACACTGACACACAGAAGTTGTAAATGTAAAACTGCATACTTTCGATTAATAAACTTAACAAAATACAATGACATCTTTAAATTATTTAATAAAAAATGTAAACCACACTTTTTGACAATGAGATTGCGCAACAAATCCAAGAAAATTTGTTAATATATACACTTTTTTATTACGCAAATACAAAAATCATTCGACAAAAAATTGTGAAGTTTCACACTTTATTTACATTGTGAAAATACAAAAACTAACCACACAAAAAAAAATAAATAAAGAAAAAAGAAATCCTTGCGGGAAAGAGGAAGGGAGGCTAGAAGGAGTGAACTTTACTGTGAAATTTTTTGGTGGAGGTTGTTGAATGTAATTGTGATAAAGAGGTATATCGGTGAGGAAAGGGAGAGAGAAGTATAATATTTTATGATAGATGTCATTAAATGTGGCGGCCAAAAGTTCATAATACAATGAGAGTAGGTTCGTGATGGGGGAGAAGTAAATGGTATGTATTCCAGTTGCCGAATAAGCACAATACATGTTAAGCCACTCCTCCCTCCGCAGTTTTGGCAGTTTGGACATAAATGGTATATATTCCCTTTTCTAATATTGCAGTGTGAAGGGGATGACGGCACAATTTTCATCACTGACGATTATCTGTGTAATGGTTATTTCACATTCCTCATAATTGTCATGCAAATCTCCATTAAAAAAAAAAAAAAGGAAATGTTATGTCTATCATAAACATAATGATATTCATACAATTTAAATCAAACTTATAACAGTCAATAAAAATTGTTAAAATTTAAAAAAAAGATTTCATCTCCTAACATTCAATATAAGTGTGACTACATGGGTTTATAAATTTTTCGCAAGATTTATCATGAAATAAAACCATTTAGTAGGATTCTGCACTAACTTTCCCCAGAATAAAAGCATTTTGAGTTCTAACACCTTGGAAAGAGGCTACAAGATGGATCCCATGCTAGCTCAGACCAAGGTTGTTAAAATCGGGATCCTAAGTAGGATTGGTAAGAGGGTCTGGTAGATCGGATCGTAAGATCGGATCGAGAATCGTAAGATCCTACTTTCTATTAAAAAAAAAGATAAAATAAAAATAAAAATGAAACATATTAAAAATAAGGTGAAAAATCATAAAATCTATGATCCTACTTGCGATCCTACCTACGATCCTATACGATCCAATACGATCCTACACGATCCCATGCGATCCTACACGATTCTACTTGCGATCCTGTTATAACATCGATCCTACAACGATTTGGATCGTTTTGGCAAAGTAGGATCGTAGGATCCTACGATCCGGATCGCGATTTTAACAACCATGGCTCAAACATGTAAGAACCGTTCCATAAAGCTTTAAGAAATTAGATCTATCCATTAGCTTTAACTTGAGAAATCTCTTAATTTTGGAAAAACCAAGTAACTTTTATTTTGGGTTCATGTGGCAACACATCATTGTTTACCTACTAAAGATGAGCTTTATAAAAGCTTGGAATTAAACAATTCTCCAAAATCTATTGCTTCCCCATGATTCTCAAACAAACAGAATATAACTGATGCAAACCCGTGTATAGAGAAATGCTTCAAGTTCACGACCCAAACCCCACCCTTGGAGGATTAGGCATCATAACCGGCCAATAACCAATCCTATTGGCTAACCAATGGGAGTCGAGTGGACTAACAGTGAAAGTATACATCAAAAATATAATGAGGGTCAAAGTGTGGTCAAACCAATAATACATACCCCATGTTCCATACATAGCGTGATCACCCATATATATACATGAGTCACTATACATACATGAACCGGCCATAAACAAAAAGACCCATACCCAACATGTCTACATACAAACATATACATATACACATAAGCATCTCACGTGAGTAGTATTAAATACTAAAGCTGCAACCATTGCCATGAAGAAGCACATCAAGGGAAAAACTTTTATATAACAAAAAATAACTTTCACATTTATGCCAAAATTCTAGAATTCAAATGACTAAAAGTCACCAATTGCAGCACTACACTAGAATGTGGAAAAGAATGGTTAACAGAATCTAACCAAGCTTCGTTCCAACAAGAACTACTGGAACCCCAGGAGCATAATGCCTCAATTCAGGAATCCACTGAAAAATTTAGAACAGAACACAAAAAGCATTCATCAGCACACCATCTAATGAGACAGAAACCTATCTCGTGTCAAGAAAAGAAAGGCACCAATCTCTAAATGAAAAACTTGGCCTAACCTTTTTTGAGATGTTTTCATAGCTGGCCTTGCTAATGAGAGAAAATGCAAGTATAAAGACATCAGCCCCACGATAGCTCAGAGGTCTTAATCTATTGTAATCCTCCTGACCTGTTTCACAAAATAAAAACAGTGAAATCTAGCAACTACCAAAAGTTTGATGACAAAGACGAAGAGGATGTCACGTAATCACTGGTCGAACTTACCTGCAGTATCCCACAGCCCTAAATTAACGGTGCTCCCATCCACAACCACGTTTGCACCAAAATTGTCAAAAACAGTCGGCACATAATCCTGTTCCCATTACATAAAAATTTGACAAAAAGACATCCTCAAGTTACACCTAGTAAGTATTCCTCAAAAACCCACAACAACAATACTGTCACAATAAAATTAGCAGGAGCATCTAATTCATACTATCAACAGTAGTTCATTAAATTCAAACTTTGAATAGGAAAATTTCCATCATTAGAAAGAAAATTCAGACTCAAGAGCACAACCCATTACAAAACCTCAATAAATGAACATAACTAATACAAGAACATTGAGGGCAGCACTACAACAACATTTTTCTAATATACTCATAATTTTCAACTGAACAAAAAAAAAGGAACCCTAATTCTCTTTCTGTGTCATGAAAAGTACCCTTTCCATTCCCCTTTCTAGGATCCAAAAACGCAGTTTAAGACTGATTTCACCAACTGGAAAACAAAAATTGGTCCTTTTTTCCTTCAAGATGTTGCATTGACCGACCCAAAAAAAAAAACTAATTCTTTCAGCTCAGGGCACGAAAATTCCATTTTCTTGGTAGAAATCTTGCTAGAAAGAGAGATGAATTTGGGGGGAAAATGAAGAACTCACAGTAGGGAATGTGTTGCTGGTGTAGGAGATAAGCATACAAGTCTTTCCAACAGCTCCGTCGCCGACGGTGACGCACTTGATGAACCTCGAAGCGCTCATCCTCTTCTCCGGCTAACCCTCCGACCACTACGTGTTCACCACCACCACCGCACCTCTGTACTTGCTTTGCTAGTACGTGTTTATATATATATATATATTTTTTTTTTTTTTCTCTTTGCTTGGTCTATGAAAAGTCGAAAAGTTGAAAACTTTAATTTACAAAACCCTAATCAATACATCTATTACAAACCCTAGTTTTTAGAGTATAATTACAAGGTGGATAATCACAGAGTACCTAACTGTGAAGCCACATTGATTGAACCAAAGAGTCTAAAGCCAGCTCTCAGCCAGCTAGCTATATATATGTGTGTGTATATTGCCTTTACTCATTCTCATCATTTACTTTACCCTAAAAAATATGTCCCGACTCCCAACTCATTAATACTTGACTTATCATAGACCAACCTCCCTAAATTCTAAATCAATGTTTCTATATATTCTTGTAAAGATTGATTTTTTTTATCAGTTGAACCGGATGGTCTATATTAAAGACTTTATAATTTTTTTTAACATAAGTTAGATATCAAATTTCAATTTAATAAATGTGTTATAGATACAACATTAATATAATATTGATAAGACATTACCATTTTTATAAATTATATTATCTATGTGGATTTATAAATAATACAAAGGGAAATGAATAAAGATTTCATTTCATATGATATGTTTATTTTAAATTTTAAAAATCTTTCCTCTAATGGTCTATGAGGTTTTTGTACGTGTATAAACACCATATAAGTTATCTAACCTAAGGAAAGCCTAAAGTCAGAAATGACCTTAGAAGCAATCTCGTTTTGAAAAGGAAAAAAAATCTCAATATCAAATTTGTTTAGAAAAAAAATGAACTTTTTTAACTTTATATTTCTATAACTGGAAGGTTATTTGATTTCATTATTGTTAGTTTTATTGGACAAGGCCCCTTTAATCAATCCTGGTTATTTTCCTAACAAGCCCTCAATTCTCTTCTACATCGCTTTTCTCTTATGCCTCCGTTTGGGAAGTGGATTGACTTTTTGGCTTTTTGGCTTTTTTGGCTATTTTAGCCTGGGCTAAAAAGCTTGGTTTGGGAAGGATTTTTTGACTTTTTTGCTTTTTTGACTTTTTTTGTGAGAGAAGAATGTAATGATTATGGGTTGGATGTGATGTTTTGTTTGTTATGGCTAAAATAGCCTATTTTGTTTTTTGTGGCTAAAATAGCCAAAAAAGCCTGAAAAAGCCCTTGCCAAACGGAGGCTATGTAGTTCAGTTTAGATGGAAAAACTGAGTGTAGGCTTCCTTTCCCATGTCATCTTTCATTCATCAAGATGAATATTTTTCTTAGACCTCATTTAGCAAGTGTTTATTTTAGTCTAAAAGTCAAAAACTTACTAAAAAAATTAAAAAACCTATAACTTATATTAAAAAATCAAAGATTCTATTTTCTCTCTATTTTTTTGCACATCGTTTTGTAAAAAATCAAAAAGTCATTTCAAACATACTAGTTTTTTTACCTCATATTTTAGTCAAAGTACCTAAAAGTTACTAAAATAGCATGTTTCCAAACGAGGCCTTAGTCATAATAGAGATAAGGTCTGTTGTGAATGAAGTTTATGTTCTGTAGACTAAGCTTCACGGTTATGGTTACGAGTTCTAGTGGCTCTTATTTAAATAAATGTACTTATTTGGGTCATATTACCTCTCTACTTTTTTACACATCTTTTTATAAAAAGTCAAAAAGTATAAATAACCCCATTTGACTTCTTTCTGGCTTTTGCAAAAAAGGCACCGAAAAAATAAAATTTCTGACTATCCTCTAATATAACAATGAAATAACCAAAACTATTAAGTAAAATATATTACTATCATCATTAAAAATTATCAATTTGACTTGATGATTAATTAATGGAAATGATTATTTGTTAGTATTTTAAGTGAACCTTAAGATATATTTCTATGCATAGCAAACAATGGCAAGAGAATAATCCCATCGGTGTGATCAATTTGATTGATTAGTATCTAATGGTATGTTTTGAACCTTGAATTTGTTAACTGAAAGATAATAGCAAGGTAAAGAATTACTTATATATATATATATATATATGTGTGTGTGTGTGTGTGTGTGTGTGTGTGTGTGTTTTATGTGTTAAAAGAAAATTGCTGTTCTATTTTTTTTTATTTTTTATCATATCGTCATTAAACTAGCCCCTATCTTCTAAGAAACAATAGCCTCGGTTTGGGAAATGAGTTGACTTTTTGATTTTTTTTAGCTATTTTAGTCTAGGCTAAAAAGTTTAGTTTGGGAAGAGTTTTTTGGCTTTTTAGTTTTTTTTTTTTTTTTTGTGAGAGAAGAGTATAATGATTATTGGTTAGATGTGATATTTTATTTTTTGTAACTAAAATAATCTATTTTGTCTTTTGTGTCTAAAATAGCCAAAAAAATCCCAAATAACTCTTCTCAAATGGAGCCTTTGCCTCTCTCCCTCTAAAAAACCCTAACCTCTTTCTTTCCTCTTTAAGAAAAAAAGATAGTGCTTTTAGCCATCCTCTCCCCTCCAGTTCTTCCTCCATGATTTCTCATTGTTTTTTCTTGTTCATCACCATTCTAGCTACTACCATCTCTCTCATCTCCATCATCAACTTACCACCGAGAAAGTTTTTAGATCTAAACTAAGATTTGATTCTTCACCGAAAATTTGACTTTGCTGCTCTTTTATACGCTAGACAACCACCTCAAACAGTGGTGCATCCAGAAATCTTATTAAGAGGGGGCTAAAATTTATATAATCATAAATTGATTATCAATTTTATTTTATCATGTTTTTACAAAAGTTTTTTATAAGCATATTGTATTAAATTATTTTTTTATAAGTATAAAAATTAAATATTATCATTATATCTACAAATAATGTTTTTAGTCAATACACATAAAAATATTATAAACTTCATTTACACATTGTACAAAAATATAAGACCAAAAAATAAAAAAAATATAAGTAACTTTTCATATTGATCATAGTCGCATTAGGTCATAAACCAAAACTAATTAAAACTATAACATAAGCTCAATTGGGTTACAACGAAAGATACTATAATGACTCACAGCGTATACCACTTTGAGACATAATTAGAATCATAATAAATTATAACAATTAATAACTAACATCAGTTTTAGACTAAAATTTGTGCGATAGCATGACTCTAGTTAAATGCTTCAAATATATCGGATGGAATAAGAATATATATATATATATATATTGAGGATTGGAAGGGCCAACTATTAATAAATTATGGGTCAACAACAATATATGGCTTCATTGTGAAGGCGTTTTCTCCACTTCTATGGAGGTTCCTTTTTTGGTAATAAAATGATATTATAAAGCTAAGATGAGTCAAATACAAATTTGGGATAAAAAGTTCCCATGGCATCCATACAAACATGTTCAATAATAAAACTAGAAATAGTAGAATAGATATGAAGGCCTTCAGTCAACTTGTTTCCTTCTTTGGCCAGTAGGTCCGCACATGTGTTTGCTTCATGAAGAATGTGATGTATTTCTTGTACTCCGAGTTGGTCGAGGAACCACCTGCAATCAGAAATTAGATTACTAAAAGGATGATGGATTGAAGACCAATTGTTCAGCAGATGTTGCACAGTGGTTGCATCTATTTCTACTTCAATATTAGGCAGGTTAAGGTCTCTCGCCAATTGTAACCCATCGCGAAGTCCCCACAATTTTGCTGCTACACTAGTTGCATATCTAATGTTGCGACTAAATCCACTGACCCAAGTACCAATTGAATCTCTGATGATACCCCTTGCTGAGGCAGCCCCGAGATTACCGCGAGTTGCTTCATCAATGTTCAGTTTGAATCTAGGATGGTCGGGAGGTTTCCAGTTCACAAAGGATAAAATCTTGGTCTTGGGAGGGTGGGGAAAATTTGAGATGAATTGCCAATGAACGACATTAGCAGTGATGGTGGCAGGGTTAGAAATGGGGGGTGGGTTGTTATCAAAACAGAAGGTGTTGCGGTGTTTCCAGATGGTTCAACAGGTGAGAGGGAAGAGGACAACCCAAAGACACAATTGGTGGCAAACGTTGGATTCACAATTAACGCGGAGCCAGTTGGGAGTGTTTGAAGAAAAAGAGGGGGTGAGGGATTCGGGAATGACCATGAGGGTCCATGGGGCCCAGGAAAAGGGACAGTCACGCAGAGCATGGGTAATGGTTTTAGGATGGGATTGACAGCGGGGACAAAGGTTGTCTTGAGTAATTTTTCGAGTGAGGAGGAAAGATTTGGTGGTTAGTCTGGCATGCGAAGCAAGCTAAAGGAAGTATTGGACCTGGAGGGTAGTGAGCGTGTGCAAAATCCATTTCCAACTAAGGAAAGGGGGGTAGAAGATGGTTTGAGGGCAAGGAGGTAAGTCGATTTATTGGTGAAAATACCATCTTGTGAGAATGTCCAAGTGAAAGTGTCTTCGGCGTGAGCATGCCAGAAAAGTGTGGTGCTCTCAATTTTGGATTTAATATGGTTGGGGAGGGTGGTGGAAAGGCAGTCAAAATTTCAATGGTGATCAACCCAACAATCATTTACTTTGAGTCCCAACTCTCTATGGGTAAGAGGGCCCTGTATATGGCTGCGGATGCTCCCCACTCCCAGCCAATTATCAAACCAAAAGGAAGTGTGGCTACCAGTTTTGACTAGTTTACACGAGCCCTCATTGAATAACTCTCTGTCTTTCCTGATACTGAGCCAAGTATGAGAATGTCTACTCGAGATTTTTGTTTCCGTTGAGTATTTAGCCCTTAGAATTTTGGTCCAAAGGGCTTCCTTGTCTGAATGAAGTCTCCAATTGAGTTTGCCCATGGCAACTTGGTTAGAAAGGTGAGATTGGCGGATACCTAGACCTCCTAGGTTTTTAGGCTTGGTGACTTCACTCCATTTGATGGCATGGATTTTTCGGTGATTGGGGGAAGAGCCCCACAAGAAATCCCTATTGAGTTTATCAATATGATTGGTGACCGATTTGGGAAGGGAGTGGCATTGCATTACGTAAGCTGGGATGATCGAGGTGACGGCCTGAATAAGGGTGTTTCTATGGAGGTTCGGATCCTTCCTTTTATAAACGTTTTAATCTCTTTTTGAGATCTTGTGATACTGTTGTATTAGATTGATCCAAACTTTTATCGATTTTATAATGAAGGTTTTCTTCCCGATCTAAAAAAAATAAAATATGCCATACTAATGAAACTATTGGAAATGGATACAGGGGTAGTGCCCCCCCTGGCCACCCCCTACATCTGCCACTAACCTTAAATTCATAATATTTTATTTTGTAAT